AAGGCTCAGGGGTCCAGGATTATCTTCTGTGTCTGTGTAATTGGTTTCCCTTTTCTTTGTTGAAGAGGGTCTGTGCAGTCTTTCTGCCTAGTCCGCCATCTTGCCAGAACCCGAGGACCCTTGTTTTGATGTAGGAGGGGCCCACACGTGCTTTCCAGATTTGTTTGCAATTTTGAATTGTAATGTTTTTGGCTGAAGACACTAACTGAAGTCAGAAGACAGGTATTCAGAGGGTTTTCAGGTGTCTCTTGGGTGAACTTGGGGCAGTGGTGTCAAAGGGCGTGCTTGGGTTCCACTGAACTTCATCTCCAGGGCTGGCTGAGCCATAGGAGCCCCCTGCCTTCCTGTCCGTGGCCATTACTATGAGCTCCGGGTTGGTGTGAGGTGCTGAGCTCAACCCTACTCTCCATAAACAGGAGAATGGGGATGTTTTGTTGACAGGTCCTCATGAAGGGGGATCTCTCAGGCCTGGTGGTCTCTTGATTGTCCTCACCAGAGTGGCAGCCTTTATGTTTCCACCAAGCACAGTGAGTGGTGACTGCAAGACTGTCATTTCTATAAGTGCAAAATTGATGTGTCTGCAGCCCTTCCCTGTGGGCCAGGAAACCATGAACCCAGTGCTCTGAGCTGGACATACCTGTAACAATGCGGCCATATGCAGGGGTCTCCTTCTCTCTGTGTAGTCCCCTGTCCATCCCTTATGTCAGTTGTCTCCCTTACCCTGTCTTTCTCACACTGTCTCCCTTACACTCTCTGTCTCCCTCACACTGTTCTTCCTCACACTGTGTTCTTCACAGTCTGTCTTCCTCACACCCTCTGTCTCAATGGTAGTTAATGTTGTGTGTCAACTTGGCTGGGCCTGGTTGAGTGGCTGGACAGCTGGTGGTAGTTATTCCCCATGATGAGACTGGCAATCAGCTCCATGGTGGGATCTACCACAAGCAGCTGAGTAGCTGCCTTAGGGATGTGGTCTGTTTCCTGTATATAAGGACAAGCCTTGGGGAGTAGTCTGTAGCTTATGGCATGCTTGAACCCTGCATGTAGCCATGTTCAGCTCTGCTGACCTTGGGACTTTTGACGGATTTGAATTAATGGCCTGCCATGTGGTTTGGTAACATTGGGACTGTGCTTTTCACTTGTCAACCTCAGTGAAGAAAAGCCTCCAGCTTCAGTGGGCCGGGAGCAGGAGGCAGAGCTGAAGCCCAGGGTTAAGGGTCTTTCACCCAGCCCCTAGAGCCTGGCACTTTGAACTTGGACTTAAAGCCTCCAAAATTATAAGAATAAACCCCTTTGTTAAGGCCATCCCATTTGTGGTATATTCTTGTCAGAGCTGCATTAGGCAACCAGAAGAGTGTCCCTCACCCTCTGTCTCCCTCATGCCATGTTCTTCCTCACAATGTCTTCACACAGTCTGTCTTCCTCACACTCTCTCTCTCCCTCACATCTCCCTTCTCCCTCACACTAGGTGTCTCCCTCAGACCGTGTTCACCCTCACACTGTCTTCTTCACAGTCTGTCTTCCTCACACCCTCTGCCTCCCTCACCCTCTGTCTCCTTCACACCAGGTGTCTCCCTCACACCGTGTTCCTCCTTACACTGTCTTCTGCACAGTCCGTCTCTCTCACAATGTATTCTTCCTCATGCTGTCTTCTTCATACCTGATATCTGCCTCACCATCTGTCTTGCTCACACTGTGCTCTTCCTCACAGCATCTGACACAATCTGTGAGCTCCTGTTGAAGTGACCCCCACAGCAGCTGGGTGCTCACAGAATGCCATGGGACATTCCTCCTTCCGTGTGTGAACAATGCCGAATCAACAGCCCTCCGTGTACTCGTGGGTGTGTGAATGGGCCACTTCCGTAAAGCTGCTAATAAAGAGATGGACTGACTGTCTACAGGAAACTCCATCAAATACTATACACTCGTTGAGAAGCAGCAGTGGGTAATGTGCCTTTCTGTAGCTAAGGGCAGCATCACCTCCCCCACCCCGCATGCCTCCTGCCCACCATGCTGCCACCAGCTGAGTGAGGGCTGGCGAGAGTGTGCGTGGTCCCTGCAGCACCACAGGGTGCACCCACATGATCATATCACATGTGCTGGGCTCTCGTGTTCAGCCAGTTGGCAGAATCTGTCAGACTGAAGGAAGGAATCCTTCAAGGCAGAAAACATGCAGGGATAACAGATGCTCTGAGCTGACCAACAAGATTGGGCATTTCAGCATCCCAGGCTCTGAGCTGACCAATCAGATATAACATTTCAGCATCCTGGGGTGATGCTACCAAAAGCTTGGAGGTTTGAATCCACCCAGAGGAAACTTGGAAGAAAGGGCTGCCAACCAACTTCTGAAAAATCAGCACAGCTCTTCCCCGTGGAGCACTGTCCTGCCCTGTGGAGCACGGGGCTGCCCTGTGGAGCATGGTTGTGCCCCGAGGAGCACGGTTCTGTCCCGTGGAGCATGGTGCTGCCCCATGGAGCATGGTCCTGCCCCGTGGAGCACGGTCCTGCCCCGTGGAGCACGGTTCTGTCCCGTGGAGCACGGTGCTGCCCC